TTCTTTTAGTACTACGATGATTTATGATATAATTATTTTATCATTACCCACATGGTTTTCTATCTTGTCTAATGTTTATCTTTTTTTTTTCCAGGGAATGACAGCAGGACAGAGTCATTTCCAAATGAAAAGAACTACTGCCAGTGTATCGAAACCATCTTCTTCATCAATGCCAAAACGAAACTCTGTCTTGCAATCTCCCATGGTATCACAAGTTGGTGTCACCAAATCTGGGACGGTTCCTGCCAGTCTATCGAAATTGTCTTCTTCATCAATGCCAAAACGAAACTCTGTCTTGCAATCTCCCATGGTACCACAAGTTGGTGTCACCAAACCTGGGATGCTTCCTTTTGGGACTTCACAACAAGGTGCGTATAACCTTTTTTCTTTCAATAGCTACTGGTCGTTCTTTTCTGCCTTAAATATTGTCTGTTTTTCTCTTTGGTTCAATCTTTGTGGCTGTGAGTGTTCTCTTAGTTGTTGTCAGTCCCTCTCTTTTGTGAAAATGATTCACTATTAGTGAAACTTAAATGATCTAACTTCCATTATTTGGTTGGACTAGTCCCTGTCATGTTTCACTTTTGGCCAATTTTGAGAGGGAGTTAACTCAATCTTCAATTTAATTAGTTTTCCCAGTGAAAGTAAAGTTGATCCAATATTACTATACATATTATTGAGAGAGAGAGAGAGAGAGAATCAGTGGACTAAGAGGTTGGTAACCGTGTTTGTTTCTTTCCATTCTTCTTTGTTCTCTTACAGGAAAACAAAAGACACCTATTCTTTCGAACTTCAAAGGTGGGTTGTCATCTAGAAGAAAAACCCTACTAAGTGCTGGCAATGATATGCATGAAACCACAGCTGCAAGTACTGAACCTCTACAGTCGAGTGAGGGTAATAGAAGAGTCTTAGTAGTTAAAGTTTTATTCAATTGTGAGAAGTTTACTAATCTTAAGCTGTTTGCAGCAAACACGATTCCTAATGTGAGTGAGAGCAACTTGAATGGAAGCATGACTGCTCCGTCGAGTGATGGTCAATCAAATGTACCCAGAAATGAGTCACCCAGTGCTTCTGAGGCAGCCATGGAAGAAGATTCCTCGCAAGAGATGGATGCAAGTATGTCATTTTTGTTCTTAGTTTATTTGGAACATATTTTTGTAAGTCATCACTCTAATCTAACACTTTGTTTGAGATGTTATTGGAAAGATGCGACTACCAAGAGGAAAAGGCAAACTAGGGGGCCCACTCGTGGGGTTGGGTTACACAAGAGAAATCATAGGGCCGGAAAAAAGTTAAAGGTAACCATTGATCCAAACTACGGGCGAGCACTGAAGCTAGTTGAGGATACAGCTGTTGGTACAGAATTAGGGATCATAGCCTCCCAATATGTCTGGCCTATCAACAAGAGTCGTCTAAAGACTCGAATTCTTCGAGAAGTATTGTTGAAGTTGGAGGTAAGTGGTTTAAGAGCATGAATTGGTGCATTTTCTGGTCCAGTTGTTTTTTGCCTTATTGTTTTCATTTAGATGGCGGTAACTGAACTAGGGCAGTCCTTAAGCATTAAATTTCAAATATTTGTTGGCAGACTAACCTTGTATCTTGGTGTAGGTGAAACTAAATATTGTGGACGTCAATGAACCGATTATCAAGAAATTTCTTTGGAAGCGTTTCGGCAAGATTGTGAAAGATAAAAGATGCAATTTCAAACAGGATCATGATGAGTATGCTAATGAAGAAGAAGCAAGGAGACACAAGCCACCTAATTTAGAGCAAGAGACATGGAATAACTTGTGTGAATATTGGGCAAACCCAAAAGTTAAGGTATTTTTAAAGTTCAAATAATATTCAGTATTGGTTATCTGTTCTTTCATGGTTGGACTGTTTCCAGCTCCTACAAATAACCATAATTACAACGTAGGCACTTTGTGTGAAGAATAAGAACAATCGAGCTAAAGTGAAGAATTTGCATTGTAAAGGAAGAAATGGTTTTGCTCCATTGTATCATCATAAGGTAAACCTATATTTGTTATATTGTTGTATGTATATATGTTATGAGCAAATAAAGCAGTATGTCTTATGGTGTTGTAACTATACATACGTAGGTGATGGAGGAAGATAGTGGCATCAACAACAAAATGGATTTCTTCCGTTGGTCAAGAACCAAGAAGACTGGGGAATGGGTTAATCCACACACCAAAGAAACACATGTAAGTAAATTTATAAACAGGTAAGGGAAAATACCAAATTCTTAATCAGACATTCATTGTTATCTTTTTTGGTTTATAGGAAAAGATGGTAGAGAAAGTGGTTACAAGCAAGGACACCGATCACCCTATGACTGAAGATGATGCCTTTCATGAGACTTTAGGGGATGATCCTGGTTATTATAAAGGAGTTGGTTATGGCCCACCACGACCATCTACAAAAGGAAAAGAGGCTGTAGAGGTTGAAGTTATGGAACTGAGAGAGAAACTTGATCAAAACCAAGCAGTTACAGCTCAGATAATGGAAGAGAACAAGGAGCTAAAAGATCAACTTGATCAAAACCAAACAGTGACTGCTCAGTTGCTTGAAGAGAACAAGGAGCTGAAAGATCAACTTGAGGAAAACCGAATTGTGACAAATCAGTTAGTTGAAGAGAACAAGGAGCTGAAAAATCAACTACAAGAAAACCGAGAAGCAACTGCCAAGACCCAAACAGATTTGGCGAGCATTATGCAAGTGCTTCAAGCCCAAGGCATGATGCCATCAGTTACTCGTAAGTGACCTCAATTCCATTATACTGTAAACAACTTGGTTATTGACATGTTAGAGTAAGAACATGAAAAAAGTGACTATCAACTAAGATACAAGTCTGTTGTTTGGATTTACGGGAATGGATGCAAAAAGAATATACTTTGGAGTTGTTTGGTGTTGTTGCTTAGTACTATTTTGATGGGTGTCTTGCTAAGGGCTTTAGTTGAATGACATCTGATGGTTTGGATTTGTTTGGTGTTGTTGCTTACTACTATCTAGATGGGTTTTCATTATTGACTGTGAAGTTTCTTGGGGCTTGTTCTGGTTGTTGTGTACAATATAAAAACTTGGATTATTTATTGTGTGTTTCTCTACTGATGTTGCAGCATGTGCTACAACAACTGTTGTTTGGTTATTCAGTTTTATTCTCTTTCTCTTCATCCTTCCTTCTTTTCTCTTTCTTTGTTCAGAATTATAGCTCCCACCCACTGTCAAATTGTTTATATGTTTACGTTTTATGTAAGCTTTAAATGATACCAAATGTTATGTTTTTTTCAATGTGCAAGCTTACTTATTGAGGTAATGTTTTCTACATGTCAAATTTCAGGCAATTGACTGATTATGGAGGGAAGTTGGGAAGAATTTTGGGGAGCACTACAAGCTTGGTGGACAATATTTTGGGAAGTTCTATAAGCTTGGTGGAGTAAATTTTGTAAAGTGCTACAAGTGTGGCTCAGTAGACAATATTTTAGAGAAATAGATAATTGAGAACATGACTTCTATCATCTCATCATGAAGAAAACAATGTTAGGCATTAGTAGTAGATTGTCTCACTAGGGCACTAATGTATTGAATATGTGGAAACTTTCCGAAATTAATGCAGGCATGTGTTATATATATGATTGTGTTATGTAGATAGTAATTTAATACATCCATTTTTTTAGGATTATACATCCAGATTTTGAGCAAACTAAATTGTTCAGATTTTACAGTTCATTTTGCGACCATTTTAAGTGGTCGCAGAAAAATGCTTTTCTGTGGCGGCCATAACACGGTGTCGTCAAAGACTCTACACAGCGACTACTACGAGCTGGTCGCCGAAAAGTAATGTTCAACGACCACAATTTAAGTCGGCAAAGAGATATTATATGTCGAAAAAGAAATATTGACGACCATTGATATCGTCGTCGAAAAGAAATATTGAGCGACGAACAGAATGTGGTCGTAGAAATTTCAAAGTTTGCGACCATAAAAATGGTCGCAAGAAATATCAAGTTTGCGACCATAAAAGACGTGGTCGGCCCAAAGCTCATTTCACGACCATTAAAATTGGTCGCCTTAAAACAAGTTTTTGGCGTCCATTTGTTCAAGTGGTCGTTCTTACATTAGCCGACGCGGTATAGACGACCACTCCGGCGACTCAAAATTCTGGTCGTGAAATCTTTAGCCGACCATTATTCCAGTTTTGGCGACTCTTTTGTGTGGTCGCAAAATAGCATTTTTCTTGTAGTGACAACCACCTGCATGCGGGCATGTACAATTCGAATTATTCAGACTATAGTGTTTTATAACATGATAGCATAGCTGGTTTGACCGAGTGGTCATGTGTCAAATCTCAACGACCCCGAATAGTAGCAATTTATCTAAGCGCAAGGTACGTTTGGACGTGTGGAAATTTCAAAGATCATGAATTGGCTTTCATTATTTGAGAGTGTGTGTTAGAAAGTTTGCACATGTGTCCATCTTATTTTTTTTGCTTTGAAAGACAATTTTTAATGTTGGGGTTGTGAGGACTTGAACACTTGACCTCAATGACAAACCAACACTGATACCATGTCATAAACAAGATCTAATACCATGTCATAAACCTGTGCTGGTTCCGATAACTCGAGTCACTCGGATTAACTGGTTCTTCATCACATGGTGTCTGAGCTAGTTTGTACTTGAGATCACATGTCAATGTCCTCGTGATCACAATACTAACTGTTTTCTTTAAAACACATGGTATGGTAGGCATGCGCGCAAACTTCAAACACATGCATGAGTTGATTTTTTGTTTGAGTGGCGTGTCAGGCGGAAGTGGTTAAATCATGTCATGCACAGACTTCTCCCAACAATTCGAGTCATTGGAATCTGTCGGTTTATAACATAATATCAAAACTATTGTATCACACAAAATTAAATACAACCCATAATTAAATTATTTTTTTCTCAACAACTCGTATTATTAAAAAAACAGGTGATTTATGAGTTATGACATGACGTACCCGTCCATGGTAGTTTCGGTTGAAGAAGATACAAGTCCCGAAATGCTTGAACATGAGGTTGGCATCATCGTACGGCAGCCTCGGCACGATGTCGAAACCGTAAACAAACCTGTAATACCTAATCCCATACTCGTCCAACTTCCGCTTCATGTACTTCCCAAACTTCTCGTCCCCGACGCGCGGCTGGCCGAACGTGTACACACCTTCCAGCCTCCTCAGCAGCACGTCCTCGTCGTGGAGCATCAGCACCGCCGGGAACAATGTGGCCAACGCGCCGCCGAGGCTGTGGCCGGCGACGAAGAACTTCGCCTTCTCGTTCTGTGACATGATCTCCGTCAGCATTTCCCTGATCTTGTAGTAGGCGAACAGCGGGCGGTCTCCGTGTTCTGGGCCGGACTGTTGGAGCGTCTTGGGCCAGCCCAGGCACTTCTGCAGGCCCAGTGCCTTCATGAACCCGCCGTGGATCCGGCCCACTCCGCGGAGCTCGTACCACGAGATGTCCACGTCGCTGCACCACGAGTCCGCGTCGAACGGCTCCGTCCCCCGGAACACCACCGCGACGGTCTCGCTGCCGTCGGCGGCTCTGTCGCGCATCAGAAACGCTTGCGTCGACGCTTTGTTTTGGTACGCTGCGAGGACATTTTAATTTGTGATTAAACTGGTAATTAATCAAAACCCATTTGGTTCAACCAATGTAAAAGTATATACATAATTTTTTATTATTATTTACGAATAGTTGTGTATGTCTTGAAGCCTTACCGTTATGGAAGTCGAAAAATCCCAAAAACTCCATCTGCATCAAATTTTGAAGATTGGAAATTAACATTAATACCACCCTTATAAAAAAGCAAAAAAAAGTAATACCAAACCGCTTCACTAACATAATAAAAAATTGCTCGTAAATATTAACGGTCAACTAATAATTATACATGACAAAATTTATTAAACATGCCAGTCTAGACGATGATAATTTCGAAATTAGGACTGAGGGTGTGCAATGGTTTAGTTCGGTCCGGACCGGACCAAACTTATGAGAACCGCGGTCTATTAGTGAAAGACATCGTAGAATCAAGGATTGGACCATCATTGCATTCGCGGTCCGGTCCAAATATCAGTTCGGTCCATCATTTTCCTTCCGTAATTGTAAAATTCATGTGGACCAAAAGATCAGAACACGCATTATACTCGGTCTGGTCCAAACTTTCGGTTTGGTCTGCTGTAGTCTGATACGGACCTGACTAATGCACACCCCTATGACATATTCTAGTTAGTAATTTTACCTGCCAATGCTGATTGACAACGGTTTCAATGAAGCTCCCGCTCTCGTACGAAAGCTTAGCCGCCATTATCGCAAGCGCCGGATTGTACCTCGGATCCCCTCGCTTGATGTTCCCGTCCAGCTCGGTCCTGTGGTCGAAATTCCCCACGAACGACACGTACGTCGACGACGTCTTGTCCGGAGCCACTACTTGCCCTGTAATAATTGCATGCAAAAATCAACGTCAATATAGTCAAAATCGCGTTTTAAAGCTTAAAAACTTACGCTTTTACGTTTCTAGGTCACCAAAGCGCTTCTACGCAAAATCACAGTTTTTGTAGCTAATGTAGTTAAAAACGCGCTTTAAAATTTTAAAGACTTACGATTTTACGTTTCTAGATCATCAAAACGTTTCTACGTATAAACGCGATTTTGACTACATTGATCAACTTAGTAATTAAATTACCTATATACATTGTTAAATTATGAATGAAAATCAAAGCACAAAAAATAGATGCTTTCATTACATGTGAGGGTGTTGAACAAGAGGCCGGGGAAGCCGCCGTTGCGGGACAAGAGGCTGAGCCACGACTCGACGCAGGTTCCGACGAAGGACAAGGGCTTGGAGACGAGCTGGAGGAGCTTGTGGGCCACGATGGAGAGGAAGATGAGCCACCTCCGGCGGAAGCTCGGTTCAGAGGTCTGTTTGCAGTCGACGAACTTTCTTTTCCCTATGTTGGGGGAGAAGAGCAGGCTGATGAGGTCGACGAGGCCGATTTTGTCGTAGTCCAGAAGCATGTAGCTCTTGCAGAACTGCTTGTTGCACTCCTCCATTGTTGCTTTCAGCTTGAAGAAGAAGAAGAAGGACGGATGGGAAAGGTTTTTTGTGGACTGATGAAATGTGGGAATCCCTTAATTACTATATAGGTAAGGTGGATCTATGGTGTATCTTAATTAAACGATTTGATTGATCTCAAATCCAAAGGAAACGACATAATTAAAGATACTTAATTACGGGGGGGAAATAATTGCTGCTGTATGGTGGAGTTTATCAACATCATTGACGAAGGAGAGTGATCAAAGTTATTAAAATAAGATTAAGCGTGTTGCTTGTGCTGATATATAAAAAAGAGGACTGGCACCTTAATTATATTTAAATTTTAAAGCACGTAATTGAGTACCTACTGGTCATTGGATGGTAAAAGAGGGATTCAAACATTATTGTGGTGTTCGAGTAGTATCGATGGCAGTTCTGATGTAATCCGTTCGATTCGGCCTGTCGTAGCCTATGTTTTGAGTGTATTGTCTTAGTCTCGGTTCGCTTCGTTTAATCGTGTTCTTCACTTGTTCTGTCTCGATTCCGTTTATTAGAGTAACCGAGTCACAACAAATTAAGAAGAAAATGGGATTGTTAGATGGTACCATCACATAACTAGAAGTTGGGGTGGCATGTCATAGCACTAAAAGATGGTGAACCAGAACGGTCAAAGATATGGATTTTATAGTAAGTTAGTTGATGAGTTGTCGGTAAGAGAGTTCGAAGCTCGAAATATGTAATTGAGGTATATTGAAAACCTTAACTTAAAACTCGAATATTCTCAAGGTTGCCTAGTACGAACAGCTGAACTTCATGAAGAACTATGTAACATTAACCAAAGATCTAGATCTTTATCGGGGGTATATCATACCTAACTAATTTCTATTTGGGAAGAGCTTAAGAACGATAATAAATGTAAAGTGAAGAATAATTTTGAAACGAATAAAATCATTTAAGAGATTCTACATTCGAGACGGCATCTATTACATTGAAAAAGGAAGAGGCATACAAATGACATTTCTATTAAAAATGACTTTCCCTTTTAATTATTGAAAACACAATCACATATATTAAACATAGTAATTTATAATATATAAAAAAATGAAACAATACATGTATATTAATGTATATAATACATGCAATACAACAATTTTAATTAGATAAAAACCAACCTTCCCAAAATACATAATGGAGTCACTCACCCACGTGGCTGCATGCATTGCCCCACCAAACGATAACAAATCTCACCAAATCCATCACAAACCTAATTAAGTTAAGCATATTTTTGGTGGAAAAGCAAAGTGATCATTAATTATAATGATGACGAGAAAAGGTGGGGCGGCCCCAACCGAGTAGAATTAACATAATCCTGAGGGCAATGAGCTGGAATCCCTGGGATTAGCAACCCCATTATCCTAAACAGCCTCATGAACCATCCTTCCCTGTACTCTTCCCCATGGGATCTGCATATCGTAAAGCTTCTAATGATCTCCATCATTGCATTCCAAATCATGCTTAGTGTCCCCATTAGCGAGAAATAATTCTTGTTTGGCTCCTCCACGACCACCTGCACCAAATATTAATTAAGTCTCTCACCCCGTACTCAATTAATTGAAAAGTGTTAATGATGTCTACGTACCCAACTGATCATTATTCCTAAACCATGTGTGCCCCGTTGGAAATCATTAACCATAGCTTAGTTAAAAGCATGTTTCATGCTGGAAATGGAAACAAATTTAAACATATAGGTATGACTCCAACTTGCGTTTATATGCATATACTGAAGTGTATATATATATATATATATATATATATATATATATATATATATATATATATATGGGGATTTTATCATACTCGGCATAAATCTAGGTACCGTGTATGCTAGGTAAGGTGAGAAAACGTTATCCAGATCTTGAATTGGTCGAATTTTTGAACATGCTATTGTACTATAACCCTTAAAGATTAGAATTTAGGTCTTAATTCTCTAAATCTTATACACTAAGTTCACTTTAATTGAAACAATTCTTAGGATTTTTTATTTAGATAATTACGACCTAGTGTTCACTCATTAGCGGTTAAGTTACAGTATTATGACCCAAAATCAAACTAATTCAAGATCTAAAATAACGTTTTCTTACTAAGAGTACGAGGTATTAGCAGTGGCGGAGCCACTTGGAGAGGAGGGGGGTGCACCCCCCTTGGGTTTGGAGAATTTTTTTTCGAGTAGGGGTATATACAAATTCGAACCAATGACTATTCAGTTGCAGGAAGAATTTATTATCATTTCGATCGAGTAAGTTTTGTTATGCAATGCACTTTCGTCTTTATTTATAGTAATAAATTGTTGTCTTTTGTTTAAACTCGCTCATTTTTTTTTAGCTCTACAACAGAGAAATTTCTTGTCTTTTGTTTAAACAAAGTTGAAAGTGAAGAAGTACCAATTGAAGTTCACTTGTTTGTTTCACAAAATCAATTCCAAGGTACTTCTGAGTTCTAATTTGTAATATTTGATGAATGGAAGTCTTGATTTGTATGTACTGAACTTATTTGTTTGACGTTGTAACCGGTGTACGTGAAACTATTTTAATGTAATTGTATGAATTTAGAGTATTGCGTTGTTGACTTTTTGTTAGTTAACTTTTCTATTGTATAGGTGATTTTTTATGATATGATAAAGACACCCCCTTGGCCAATTTTCTGGCTCCGCCACTGAGTATTAGAACCAAGAAGTCATGTTAACGACGTACCAAACAATCTGTAATTTTGTTTCGATGATTAACCTATGAAAATTTCACTTCGTTGGAAACAAAGGTCTGGTTTAGTGGTACCTTATAATAATGAAAAACAAATATATATCGCCGTATTTACTTTATTAACCATGAATCGTACAATTTGAGCAAGCGTACGTACCTGTGCTAGGTAGTTGCGGTCGAAGTAGATACATGTCCCAAAATGCTTGAACATAAGCGCGGAATTATCGTACGGCAACCTCGCAACGATGTCGTATCCGTAAACAAACCTATAATACCTTATCCCATACTCCTCCAGCTTCCGCTTCATGTACTCGCCAAACTTCGCGTCCCCGACTCGCGGCTGCCCGAACGCGTAAATCCCTTCCATCCTCTCCAGCAGCATCTCCTCGCCGTGGAAAGTCAGCACCGCCGCGAACAGCACCGCCAGCGCGCCGCCGAGGCTGTGTCCGGTCACGACGTACTTCGCCCGGTCGTTCCGGCCCATGAGTTCCCTCAGCATTTCTCTGATCTCGTAGTACGCGAATTTATAATTGGGCCGGGCTGAGGAGGGGCTTTCTTGTTGTTGGAGAGTTTTGGGCCAGCCCAGAGACTTTTGTAGGCCTAAAGCCTTCATGAACCCGCCGTGGACCCGGCCCACTCCGGGAAACTCGTACCACGAGATGTCGAAGTCGGAGCACCATGCGTCGGCGTCGAACGGCTCCGTCCCACGGAAGGACACCACGATGGTTTCTTCTTCGCCGGGTTGTGTTGTGTCGCGCATGAGGAACGCCTGCGTCGTGGCTTTGTTTTGGTACTCTGCACGAATGAATGAATGAATGAATGATCGTAAGTTCGAGTACCAAACGGCTTGAACTAGGTAGATTATAAATTTGTAATTTGTTACGTACCATTCCAGAAGTCGAAAGATCCCAAGAACTCCATCTGCAATCACCATTTACTGAAGTTAGGGCACAATAAGGAGCTCAATAATTGTAGTCGACGAGGAGGTTAGTAAATAAAATATGTTTTACAATTCAAACTCTGAGTTGTTGGAAGAACGTTGAATTACGAACCTTATAGCACTCTCTTACACACTCCTGAAACTTGCTTTACTCGGTGGTTAATATTGACGTAGTAGATATTCGATAGGGGTGGCTATACGGTCTGGTCCGGTTAATTTGGCCCAAATTGATCCGGTCCAGTCCGGTCTTTTCGAAAATATAAGGACCAAGGATTGGATTGGATACAGTCCGGTCTTGACTCGGTCCGGTCCCAATTCGGTCTTGATTTTATATTGAGTTTGTGGGGATTTGAGTGGCCTAACGCCTAAAAGGGTGAGAAGTTGGTTAAGTTTTGTACTAAGTGCAAAAGGTTGTGACCGTTTATGCTAATTACCCTTAAGTTTTGGGTGTTGAGCTCGCTTATCCGGTCTTTATCCACCTTTTTATCCAGTTCCGAACGGTTTTTACCTCAAATCTAAGCCCAAAAATTGGATTGGATTGTTTACTTTCCGGTCCCAGTCCGAGTTATACGGTCCGGTTTAGGGTAAAACCAAAAAACCCGGACCAAATAGCCAGCCCTAATATTCGACATGACCCCACTTGCCCAAATCAGCTATGATATCATATTAACAGTCGGTTGTTTCTCAATAATTTGAGTTGTTCGAAGAAGTCATGTTATGGATTATACATCATTTACTGACACACTCCCTCAAACGAGGTCACTGTGATTCGAACAGATCACCTCTCGATCACAGAAGGCTCCGATAACATATCAAGAACCATTTGATCCGAATAACTCGAATTATTGGAAGATGTTCAATTATGTATCATATATCATTTACTAACACACTTTCAATAACTTTGAGTGATTAAAAGAAGATTAAATTCGAGTCTTATAACACTTTTTTAAAATTATGTTTGGAGATGAGATCTCTAGACAATGGAAGAGTTTGCTAATTAGTAATTACCTGCCAATGATTGTTGACAATAGTTTGAATGTAGATCGGGTTCTCGTACGAAGCTTTTGCGGCCATCATAGCAAGTGCCGCATTGTACCTCGGATCTCCAATCTCAATACTCTTGTCCAACTCCGTCCGCTTGTCGAAATTCCCAATGAACGAAACGAACGTCGCCGATTCCTTGTCAGGAACCACCACTTTCCCCGTGAGAACGTTGAGCAAGAGCCCGCCAAAGCCGCCGTTGCTCGACAAGAGGCCGAGCCACATCTCGACGCACGACCCGACGAAGGCGAGCGGCCTGGAGAAGAACTGCAGGGTCTTCTGAACCACGATGGAGACGAACATGAGCCATCTCCGCTCGAAGCTCTCTTCCTTGTTCTCCTTGCTGTCCACCACCTTCCTCTTCTCGACGTCCGACGAGAAGAGGAGGCGGAAGAGGTCGGAGAGGCTCAGCTCCTCGTGATTCAGCAGCATGTAGTCGCTGCTGAATCGCTTGTCGCACTCCATCTGACTCATGATGTTGGGTATTATAGCAGAAAGAGTGTAGTGATAATTTTCTTGATCAAGAGCAAACACTCTGAAACAAACAATACCCTCTGCTTATATATGTTTTAGCTACTCACGACGAAAGAAAAAGAAGCAGACATGCAAATTGCAGAGGAGTATACTCTTTCTTTCCTTTTTTTGTTACACTCTCTCCGAACACATCCTAAATTTCCATACATACATACACATTTATAGTGAAATTGGGAAAATATCATTTGCTTCTAATTCCACGTTTACTCCATGTGGCCAATGGGAAACACCCATTAAAAGCAATTGGCCCATGCATTTATATGCTTGTCTTCATCTTCTTTATTGTGAGCACCAAATAGACTTGATACGAATGAGAACACGATAAACTTCCCAACAACCAACTATGTATGTCCCATGTAGTAAAGGGCTTCTCGATTATAGCTCCATCATTGATCACTTAAATTATATCGAAAGCAAATTGCCATTCAACAAATGAAACGGTTCGGAAGATTACTAACAATTAGTTTAAGTAATTTAACTATTCCTAACCATCCCATGCACGCAAGTGTAAAGTGAGAGACAGCGTGGATAAAGTCATGAACAACGTTATTATAATCGAAAGGCAACAAATGGAATCAAACGAGATAAAGCATGTGCTTCCGTGCTTGATATATGCTTTTTGGCTCCACTTCCACCATTATGTGGTGGATCCCTCTTAAAAAGTAGGAGTGGTTATACGGTCCGGTTCAGTTAAATTGGTCCGAATTGATCCGATTTCGATTCAATATTTTCGAGAATATAAGTGTCATAACTGGAGAGTTCAATTAGTACGATATTGTCCACTTTGGGCCAAGCCCGCACGGATTTACTCTTGGGTGTCCTCCCCAAAAGGCCTTGTACTAATTGGGCTAGGTGGACACTAATATACAAGAGTTCCTTCCCTTGTATTTCCGATGTGGTACTTGGATTGTCCCATAACAATCCTCCCCTCAAGACAAGGACCACGAACTTTGTGTCCTCTCCTCAACAATTATCTTGATCCGCCAGACACCTTGTATCGATGGGCTTCTCGCTACAAGGATTTTTCCCATACGTGGATCCACCAAACCAGACGCGGACCTCCTTTGATCCGCCAAACCCAAATGTGAATCTCTCCTGGATCCACCAAACAACCCAGACGCAGAACTCTCTTTGATCTGCCGAATCAAACGCGGATCTCCCTGGATCCACAATACAAATGCAAATCGCAAATCCCGAGGTCCACCGAATGAGGGTCCCACCAAACTGACGTCCACCCCCCGAACCGAACCAGGCTCTGATACCACTTGTCATAACTGGTGAGCTCAATTAGTACGATATTGTCCGCTTTGGGCCAAGCCCGCACGGATTTACTCTTGGGTGTCCTCCTCAAACGCGGATCTCTCTGGATCCACAATACAAATGCAAATCGCAAAACCCGAGGTCCACCGAATGAGGGTCCCACCAAACTGACGTCCACCCCCCGAACCGAACCAGGCTCTGATACCACTTGTCATAACTGGTGAGCTCAATTAGTACGATATTGTCCGCTTTGGGCCAAGCCCGCAGGGATTTACTCTTGGGTGTCCTCCCCAAAAGGCCTCGTACTAATTGGGCTAGGTGGACACTAATATACAAGGGTTCCTTCCCTTGTATTTCCGATGTGGTAATTGGATTATCCCATAACAATAAGAACCAAAGATTGGATTGGATACAGTCTGGTCTTGATCATGTCCGATTCCAATTCGGTCTTGATTTTAGATTGAGCTGGGGGGGGGGGGGGTTGAGTGGCCTGAGGGGGGAATTTGAGTGAGGAGGTTAAATTTTGGGTGTTGAACTCTATTATACAGTCTTTATTCGGTATTCGGTCCGGTCCCAAACTATTTTTTACCTCAAATTTAGGCCCGAAAATTGTATTAGATTGTTTGCTATCCGGTCTCGATTCGGATAAAATAAAAAAAGTCCGCACCTAATAACCAACCTGCTTAAAAGTATACCCTAATTAAGAGAAAAGGGTTAAGGTTTCCCACGTGGTTCCCATAGTGATGCAACATTCCAATAGCATGCATGATACTCGTGTTGGCGGTAACAAATTTAGAGCATTGTCGGTGATGTAACATGTACTACACGAGTCCTCGTTGTTTCTTCTTCTTCTTCGGCCAACGACCCCATTTGTCCAAAACACACCCGTCTATCTTCTCCTTTTTCCCAATTTTCATTTCTCTTCTTTCAAAATGTCGACTGAATCCTCAAATTCTCCTTATATCTGTTAGCTCTGCTCTTCAAGATTGTCAAACCGATTTATACTGTTGTGTTGGTTTAAAAAGTGAATTGGCGCGACTAGTGGTACAATTGGTTTGTACCAGTTCATGTCATTGAAGCTTATCGTGCTAAGGCGACTGCAGGCCAGTTGATAACTCTCGGAGCTCTGGTGACCGACGAATACTCGACGCAGGGCCGACCATTAGCATGTGTCGATCGGTCATCCACCATAGTACATCTGTTATAGAGAAGAAATTACGTGAGAGGTTACGAACTCGTGTTTCTGAGAATTTTATGATTTGATCTATGTAATGTGTGATTCCAAATTAAAATATTAATTTGTATTTGATATATTGATAGATATGTTGGATAATGCATAGTTGGTCATTTGTTAAAATCTATCTTATTTGTTTTTACAAAGGGTTTATGTACTTATTTATTTCACTTAACTGGACTAAAATATAAGTTTAGCCTGTTAGAGAGTGGTATAAGATCCAGTAGAACCTTCTCCCAACAACTTGAGTTATTGGGATCAATTGGTTCTTGACATGGTATCAGTCTATCAGAGCTCGTTTGGCCAAATGGTCGTGTGTTCGAATCTCCATGACCCCCAATATTAACTTTTGATTAAAGCACAAGGTATGGTGGGCCTGTGCAAACTTCAAGCCCATGGGTTGGCTTTCGTTTGAGGGGGCGTGTTAGAGAGTGGTATAAGATCCAGCAGAACCTTCTCCCAACAACTCGAGTTATTGGGATCAACTGGTTCTTGATACTCACCACTTTAATATTTTTTATATTTTTTTAATTCTTGTATTTATTTTATTTATTATTTTAATTAATTAATAAATTAAATAATCATGTAATTACTATATTTTCATTCATTAAATTAGATTAATTGGAACTATTGAATTTTAATGACTTTGAAAGAATGAGATCGACTTAAAACAAGTGACTAAAAAACCCCTTAGTCACTGGATCTTACCTATCAAAGGCCACTTTTCGTGCTTTCTTCTCTACACTAGAAATGGAAATAGGGTTTTGGTTTCTTTGTCGAGATGATTTCAACCAGAAGCTTCATTGCTTCTCTCTGCGAGCTTCATCGTGACCACAAATCTTGCACTTTGCTGACTTCGAATTCAAGTGTAGCTAGAGAACGATACTCACATTCGGTAGAAGAACGAGCAACCGATTTCTGTTTTCTTGTAGACCAGGAAATTAAAGTTGCTGCCGTAGACTACTTGCGAAACCTGTGATTGACTTTTGGAAGTGTGAAACCGTGTTCATGGGCTGCTGCCTCTGAAATCAATTCGAAGAACTGTTTGAGTGGGCCTAAGTGAAATTATAGCCCATTTTGTTCATGGACTTAATGACGTTTATTTGTTCTGTGGCCCATTAACTTTGCAAGCCCACTTTGTTTCTCAAGGAAAGTGACAAAAGCGATATTAAAAGACGCAACTCTCTTTTCATTTTTGTCTTCGTCTTTGTTTTTCTCTTATTCCTATCAACTTTCGACTAAATATTATTTTTTAGTCAAATTTTTTCTTATTCCAAAATATTAGTCAAACATTTTATAACGCCATAAAATTATAGCCATCTTTCGTTAAAGTTAACGTGAGTCTTAACAAAAGTATACCTATGCTAATCGTCACTCCACATGGTTGAAACCTTAAAATCGATGTCGTCTCTGCCGTCAAAGCCCAATCACCAATTTTGTCCCTCGATCTCTATACGCAAAAGAAGAAGAAGAGGAAGAGGAGGAGGAAACAATGGCGACAGATCGAGAAAGAGAAGAGAAGAGAAAGAGATGAACGCTGCTCGAGAGAAGAGTTGCGGTTGCTTTCTGTGGATGGAAGATACGAGTCGTAACGGGAGTAGATTCTTTATTTTTTGCTAATCCATGTGGATTGGTGGCGATGAAATATCAAAAACTCAATATTTTCGTCAGTCCACCGGCCACACTGTTAAATGATATCGTTAGAGGGAATGACGAAAGCGGCTAAATCAAAATAATTACATGAAGTAAATAAAAAAAAAACAACAAAATTTTCAACCGATGATGGTGATGGAAAGTGAGCGGGCCCAGTAACCCGGACCACCCAGGCCCAGCCAGCCGCGTCCTCTTTCCATCCACACACCCGCCCGCAGTCTCATCCCCTGTCCTCCAACCCACCCCATCTCCCAAAAAACCCTCCCTTTCACTCCGTCAGATCAATCAATCGTCTCCCTACATATCATCTTCACCGTACACCCCCTCCCTTACCCGTAGAACTCGCCGCACCCAATCACTCCTCCATCCCAGACCTCTGAAACAAACAAAGAGCACAGCACACCCAGCAGCGCGCGACAAGCTGCAGCAGAGTACGGCGCAAATTGATGAATGAAAGCCCACAGCACAGCTGTCTTCCATTCCCCAAATTCAATTACTCTCCCCTCTCCCACTCTCATCTTCCTTCCTTCCTCCCTTTCCCCCTTTTCTCACTACCAAGCAAGCAAAACTCATTCCTCTGCGAAACAATGGCAGCCAACAAAACCCGTCCTCCCCTGTTTCTCATCCTCCTCTTGCTGGTCGGATCGTTGAATTCGACCCCATCTTCGGCGACCGGCGGCGAGGGAATGCTGAGCTCCGTCGCTTCCGAGGATTGGCCGATCGCGATGTCCGTCTACGGCGGCGGCGACTTGGATTCGGAGGACGGAGCGTCGGCCGATTGGGACGGAGAAGCAGAGGAGGAAGAAGGGAGCAGCGGTAGCAGCAACAGGAGGTCGCTGTTCTGGAGGAGATGGCCGTACTACATCTCGTACGGAGCTCTGTCGGCGAATCGGATCCCGTGCCCGGCGAGATCTGGGAGGTCGTACTACACCCACAATTGCTACAAGGCCCGCACCCCGGTCAACCCTTACTCCCGCGGCTGCTCCAGAATCACCCGCTGCAGGGCGTAAGAAGTTGGAAACTCTTTTTTGAGTGAGCAGAAAAAAAAAAACAGAGTGTGGGTGGAAAATGAAATTCCCAGCTCAGGGCGTGAATTTGTCTGCTTGTTTGTTTGTTTGATCTCTGTGTGTTGGTCTACTGTAATTTCTTGCTTCATTTCCCGTTCTTTTTGTAGTAATGTCGGCAGGGTGGGATACTGGGATTGGGATTTTGGGATCCAGGCATTCTTGGTGGTAAATGGTAAGTTGCTAGGTAGATCAAATTTTGTTTGATTGTGTATTGTAATCAAATGTAATGTAACGATTAATAGATGTGCTGGACTGGAATTCTGTTGATGATTAGAATGGAATTCTTTAGATTCCGTGGGGATGATTAATTAATGGGATTCTAAGAGCAATTAATAATGGATTATCGGATTAGTGCACTCACTGTAAGACTGTGATGGATGTGGGCAGCTGCGCAGCAGAGCAGGTTGGTTCGTTTCTGTTGTCTTCTTCCTCCTCCCTCATTAATTAACCACATGGGTTTTGAGATTAGTGCCTGATAATGCTAGCAAAGTTTCGTCTTCGTGTCGATCTAACGACTAAAAGTCATTCAATCATACCATCCCCTGTTTTTTTTAGCCAAATGGTGCGATCTGGTGGAATGATGGGGGGAAAAGGGTTTCTACTTTTGTCCTCTGATAGTGGATTAGGATGATGAAAAGGAGAGTTTAACGTTCTTTATTTGGGTGGCCGCTTTAACCTCTGCCTTTTGTCTAGCTACCTGCTCTGTTTTGGACTGTTATAGCAAACGAGTTATAATTGTTGAACATGGTCTGCTCTCCTCTCTCTTGTCTCCAATTCCAACAACTAACTACCACTTTCCGCCATAATTCCGGGAGGGTTCTCTCCTCCTTTTTCTCTTCCTACTTCCCATTTCCTTCCCCTGCCACTCAAATTCTATCTATCCATTCATTTTGGTTAACTGAGATCGAACCCAAAGCCAAAAGCAGGGGATCGATCAACGTACAGTTGAATTGAACTGTCCTATTACTCTGTTTCGGTTAATATAAGCCGTTGAGTTTACCGCCCATAAGGCTGCAAATGAGTCGAGCAACTCGAGGCTCAAATAGGGAAAAACTCGTACGAAACTCGACTCGTTTACTAACGAGTCAAGTTTGAGTTTAGCCTTGTTCAGCTCGCGAGCTAGCTCGACTCGGTGTCTTGTTGAGCTCAACTCGTGAGTTGGCTCATTTAGAGCTTATGAGACGTCTCAACATTGTGGTTTGAGGGCCAACTTGATCACCGACTTATGGACGAATCGATCTAATTTGGACTTTCATAGTTCATAGGATTGTTAAATTATATATCTCAAATCATGTGAAGTTTAACATGTTGAACATGTACCCCTGTTTCCGAAGTAGGGAAGGAAAAGGAGGGGAGGGGAGGGACCATTTGGAGGGGAGGGAAAATTGAAAGGGAAGGGAATTGGAGAGAAAATGTTGTTTTATGGGGGAAAGTGAAAGGGATAGAGGGAGGGAAAAAGTATATAGGGAAGTGTGATAGATATGTTATTTTATTGATTATGTAATAGTAAGTATATGCAAAAAATGCGAAGATGAATATTATGAATAACCAATTTTACATAAAAATGACCATTTTTATTATTTGTTAACGGAACATATATTGTTCATTTAACTCGTTTTTATTTTTTCATACAAATTTGATTACCTTTGTAGTACAAGATGACGTCCATTTTATAAAAAATGTAACACTCTGATGTCGTTTTACTTGAAACTTAACACACATTTACGTTACACGTAGTTGTGTAAAACAACGTTTTGTGTGACTCATGCAGTCTAAATCACCTGTTTGGTTCGGTTCGATCCGGTCTAAATATCCAATAAGTAGATAAACATCTTGCATTCTTGCTATAAATTTCACTTGTATAGCCAAAACTTTGACGGTTTGGCCAAATATAGCCACATTTGGCGAAATACCGAAAATAGCCACTTCCGTCCAATTGTTTGACGGTGTTAGTTAACGTGCTGACTGGACTAACGGATTGTCTGATCTGGCGATTTTCGGCCTGTGCATATTCCCACGTGGATTTAATTAAAAATTAAATAAAATAACAATAATGAAAATTAAAAAAAATTCAAATGGCTTGGTCATTTGATTTATGAAAAATAAAAACAAAAAAATAAATAAAACAAAAAACTTCTCTATTAGGCAATCTTTTAGTGTTACTGAGGATGGAACTCTATTAGGCAATCTCATCGAGATTGATTGTTTCTAGACTAATAGTTCCATGATAAAGTCTGGCCCCTACCTTTTGAGGGGGATCAGCCTTAGGTAGCAGTTTCTTTGTTGGTGAATTGTGGAACCTTAGCTGGCAGTTTTATCTTGGGTTGCAGGAGGATGACCATGAAATGGAGGTTGATACTGCAACCTCGGTAGTGCAAGCTCCTGTGAAGCACTCCCTTCCAGAGCTGGAGATATTTTCTTACTTGCTGGTCTTGATATTTCTGATTGATCAAAAGAAATACAGTGAGGTAATTCATCGTATAAGTGATTTCAGAATTAGAGCCCATTTCATTCAGATGCTATTACTGATCTACTTGTCACATGCTTTCATGTTTTAGGCTAAAGCTTGTTCATCAGCAAGCATTGCAAGGCTTAAGAACATTAACAGAAGGACTGTTGATGTTTTGGCATCGAGGCTTTATTTCTACTACTCCCTCAGTTACGAGCACACTGGTGACCTTGCTGAAATAAGAGGGTGAGTTGTATATTCTTTTGCAATATCAATTGGCGGCGTTATCATCTGGGCTTCTTATGTTTTTGGTTGTACTTATTTTCTAGATTTCCTTGGGTTTTGCCTGACTTGCTTCTTTTCTTATTGGCAGTAACCTGCTTGCACTTCACCAGATCGCAACTTTGCGCCATGATGAGCTGGGTCAGGTACATTTTCCAAGGACATGAATGGTTTTTTGGCCTTTCAGATTCCTGATTCATGTCCTTATGAAATAACCTTATTATGCAGGAGACACTTCTCAATTTGCTGCTACGCAATTACCTCCACTACAATCTGTATGATCAAGCAGAGAAGCTAAGGTCCAAGGCACCCCGATTTGAAGCCCATTCAAATCAGCAGGCAAGCAATTCTCTATAATTTATCAACTTCTGTCTGTAATATTGGGGTTTCGATTGCATGTATTACCAGGTGCCTTTTGGTTTTGCCTTATGAATTTTTTTAATGTCCAACTCTATTCCACATATTACAACATAACATCCATGAGGTCTGGAGGCAATATCAACAAAGTCCAGGTCATATTAAAACTTGGATAGGCTTAATTCAGATAGAAGGACTCTTGATACTTCTAATCTTTACGTAACCGGTGATACTCAAGGCCTCAGCCTTCTTCTCAGTAAGTGCAATCATCGAACTATACTTCCAGTAAGTGATGAAACCAGTGGAAGCCGTCTAACTGTGTTGCTGAGTTGGTAAAGCAACATAATGAATAGGAGTCACTGCACAGAGATTTGCTTGATAGAAATGTCTAGCATGCATCTACTAGTATGGTCTTCATGTCATAGACAGCATGAATTATATACTTCTATGCTCTTTCATTGATTAAAGTAGTGAATTATGTCTAATGAAATTTTGTTGCAACATGAGTGAACAAGAACTCGAGTACGTTATTTCATGATAGAGATGTCACAACTCACAAATGTGGGTATCTTCGTGCTCATTCTATCCTTCTCACTTCAGCTCTTCTTCTCTATGGCAGTTTTGTAGGTACCTATTTTACCTGGGAAAGATTAGGACGATTCAGTTGGAATACACAGATGCTAAGGAGTCCCTCCTACAAGCTGCTCGGAAAGCCCCCATTGCAGCCCTTGGCTTCCGTATCCAATGCACTAAATGGGCTGTCATTGTCAGATTGCTGCTAGGAGAAATCCCCGAAAGGACCGTCTTTATGCAGAAAGGCATGGAGACAGCTCTGAGGCCTTACTTTGAGTTGACAAATGTAAGTATCTTTCTTATCTGAAATCAAGTTCTTGATTGATATGCATTCAGTGAAAACAAGATAAGTAATGAGGGTCACTATTATGATCCCCAATCTCACAGGCTGTCAGAATAGGTGACTTGGAGCTCTTCAAATCTGTGGCTGAGAAGTTCTCAGCGACATTCAGCGTGGATAGGACCCACAACCTGATCGTCAGGCTGCGCCACAACGTCATTAGAACTGGGCTCAGGAACATCAGCATCTCCTACTCTCGTATTTCGTTGGCCGACGTCGCCAAGAAGCTGAGACTCGATTCCCCAAACCCCGTTGCTGATGCAGAAAGCATTGTCTCCAAAGCAATCCGAGATGGCGCGATCGACGCGACAATTGATCATGCGAAGGGGTGGATGGTGTCTAAGGAGACTGGGGACATTTACTCGACGAATGAGCCACAGATGGCATTCAACTCGAGGATTGCCTTCTGCCTCAACATGCACAACGAAGCTGTCCGTGCACTCCGCTTCCCTCCCAACTCCCACAAGGAGAAGGAGATTGCTGAGAAGAGGAGGGAGAGACAGCAGCAAGAGCAGGAGCTTGCCAAGCACATCGCGGAAGAAGATGATGATGAGTTTTAAGAGTTTGGAGGGAGCTTAGTCCAATTTCTCAGTTCCATTTGTGTTCTGCTAGACATTGTTTACTTGTACTAGTAGGTGGTTTCACCTTCTGCATATTTATAGACCATCTCTTTGGCACGATTTTCAGAGTTCAAGCATTCTACTGTGTTCCAGTTAGCAAATCATTGAGATATTTACTTGAACTAGTAGGTGCACAGTATCACCTGCTTTTTTGGATTTGGTTCCAGGATGCCAAAGGTTAGAAAGAATGTAAACCTTCACCATATCATTTATCAACTATCTTTTTGGTACAAAACTTCTGAATTCAACCATTGTTGGAACAAAGTAAAGGAGCAAGATTACATTGTCAACATGTTTCACCAAAGATTACTAAATATGCAATCAAGTTGAGCTCAGCCCAAATGACTTGACAATGTTGCTAACTCTTTCTGCAAAAGTCCTTGATGTGATCTTTTTACCCGGTACGTGAAACGGGTTTGAGACAGCGTCAACATATGCAGCATGGAACCTCCGGAAAAACTGCAACGCGATATCATTGAACAATCTAAAGTGAGAAGTAGTGACAAGTCATACGTAGCCAGAGCCCAGAGGCCACTGGGGTAGATAGTAGATTTATCAGATTAATCGTCGTCTTAAGAATAATGCAGCAAGCTAGATACTCAATTATAGCATATCTATATACTCAAGGAACATGAACAAGGGATTCTAGTTCCTCTGCCATGCAACAATTCCAGGCTAGGGGGAGCAGAAATGCAAGTGCCAAAGCTTGAAGACGATGTTCTCACATGGAAAATCTAGACGCTTTTCGAGACAACAGGGAGAGGTTATCAGCTTAAGCAAACAAAATCCCTCACCAGAGCAGAATCAACCTTTTTGCAGATTAAACCCCAATACCTCAGCTATATAACTTCACAATCTTAGTAACATCAAAGGAATAGTTCCGTCCCAAGATAATGCCATTCACAGCAGAACTACAGAGGTAGAAATCTGTACGACCACCAGCTTACTCCGAAAACCATCCTAGCAAGTCTATGTTCAAATTTCCATATGCCCCGGTTGCAGGACAAGAGATCGACACAGTAAATCTTCAACTATTGGCAGAGAGAAGGCCCAAAATCCAATCTTTAGAGAAGGGTAATGGCAATACTTACATTTCTCACATCAACGTCTCTAACGTCCAAATCCGTCGTCACCAAGATAAACTTCACCTTCGTGTTCGTCAGATATCCATACCTGAAACACCAAAGCAACATTCAATAAGCAAAACTTCCAAGCTCCCCAATTGGAATCATCCAGAAAAAGCTATCGAAACAGGATGCTTACACTTTGTAATTCTCAGTCGGATACAGCAATCCTAGAAACGTTTCGTTCAGAGTCGGCCCGGATTTCTTCGGATTATTCACTGGTTCAGTTACAGATTCCGGATTAGGGGAAATGAAATTCCACATCGAAATTGAAAGATAAAGAAAAATCGCTAGATCAGGATTCAGGATCGGGATTCCGGCGACATTTACCTCGCTCATCGACAACGTCGAGGGAGCAGTGGACGATGTGGTGGAGCTTCAGCGCATCGTCCGCCTCCGTGAAGCTCTGAATGTACAGCGGATTGTTCTGGTCGGCGAAATGAGGAAAACCAAACGGCGTCAGATTCCGGCGAATGGGAAATCCGTGATTAAGCAAGTGTAAAGAACGGGAAAGACTGACGCACCTGATGCCCGACGACGGCGACGCAGACGATCATCTCCGCCGATTGAGATCGGTTTATTCTGAGTCGCCGCCGAGTTTTGGTTTTCAGTTGGGAGTGAACTGACGATGCTCTCCGATCAGAAATTTTGGGACGTATTGAGTCGAGGGAAGGAATGTTGATGTGGTGCGGGCAAGCGTAGCGAATCTACCGAGTACCCGCCTGCTTTCTTACTTGGTACATTGCTGTAGTAAAAACACAAGGGGAAAAAAAAAGAGAAATATGAGCTTCATTTCACTTCTTATCCAATATATAAATTTTAATTTTTGGGCTAACAATCATTTATCGAACAAAAAGAGCGATAATTTTATAAAATTTCTAAACATGATATTGTTTTGGTATCCCAACAGAGTGCGACGACAAAAGGGAGTTATTCAGGATGAAGCATATCATTTGTTGTAAGCATTTACGACGAATTTAGGTGGAGGATCAATAACACAAGCAGAGATGATGGGGATACTACACGGATTGCAGTATGCATGGACCCTGGGTGTTCGAAAGCTTGTATTGGAGACAAATCCTCGTTTTGCAGTGGAGTTGGTGCACTCAGCGGCGCCTTTCTAATCCTCACTTTCCCGTTGGCAATGCAAATTTGGCGAATGATAGAGAGGGACTCGGAGGTTCATAAAATGCCTTTAGGTGTCCATTTGATCCCGATTTCGGGAATTATGTTACAACACTGGTTGATGTATTACTTGACAGAGAGCCAGACTCCCCGTTTTACCTCTCGAGTTAGGACTGGACGTTCTTTTACGCCCATTCCATAGTGCATCAAAGTTAGTTCGCCATTTTGGATTTTTTTTAAAGGCACCATCAAAGTAGTTCTTCTAGGTTTAGAATAACCAAATATTCTACCTTCTTCATCAAATTATGCACCATGAAAGAAACAAATTTCCTTGGAACATACTGTTAGAGTTTTTCTATTCCTTGTCCTCCTATATACTCCTCCCAACCCTTTGCTTCAACTCCATATATTATATACCAAGTAAGTACCTTTCCTGCTCCTTAATTCATCTGAATTTCTCACTTAACAACAATCATACTTAAGTAGTAATTTTTAGTACTTACCACAAAGTTATTTATTTGGTCAAATTGATAAAACTTTTCCTCATCGGGTAATCAAATCCAACGGCCAGGATCAGCTCACCAGTAAAAGCGCTGAAATCGAGCTCATCCACCCTACGTAAAAAAACAAAAACAAAAGATCACAAATAAAATAATCGGCCAAATACCACGGATTAGGAAATTACAATGCTGCCCCCACAAACACCGCTTCTCTCACCACCACCATTTTTATGATTCTTCGCCTCCTTCCGCCTTTCACCCTTTTTTTTTTCTTTGTCATTTGCTCTCAGCAATCGGAATTTGTAGTCCGACGACGACGCGAGAGTCGGCCGGTGGCTGCGTTTCAGAACGTGTGATATATAGAGAGCAGGAAAATCAGCTCGTAATCGCGAGGAACCGGGAATCAAGCTCCGGTTTATTGTGTTTTATTTTATCTAGTCTTCCACAACTTTTTGCTCCATTCACCGCCATCGGGTTATCGCAGACGATAAGGTAATGCGTTGTTTTTGTTGTTGGCGATTGAGGGTTTGATCGGTTGAGCTGGTTTCTTGGGTCAATCAAGAGTTGGGTTGATGGTGGGGTTGTTTCTATTTGTTGAGCTGGTATATGCTGGAAGAATGGGGTGGAATCTGCTTTGTGTTTATTGGATTTATCGTGTTGTGCGTTGCTTTTTGATTTTGTGGATGTTGGTTTTTTAGGATGGCATTGGTAGTGCTTGTCTGGGGTTCTCTTTAGCTTGGTGGAATGTCGATTTTGAATGTAGTGTTTGAGGTTATTGTTACTTGTTAGTGATTCTCAGTTGAAATCTATTGGCATGCATTGTTTGATTGTTTCGATTTGAATCCGTAAGTTCCTTTCATTTTCTGTTTAGAGTTGGAAGAGTTGTGGAACGTCCATGTCTCGGGTTATGCTTGATTACAACTAAGCTTTGAGTTGGATTTCTGGGGTCAGCATCTTATGTGAATTTGGCCTAAAGGGTATGTATTGGAGGAGCTTTAGTACATATTAATGATATTGGACGGACTCGTTAATGAACAGGGCTTTCTCGGATAAAGGCGTAGTCTTTAGCTCTGAATGACTACTTTTTCTTGATAGAAATGTCCTACTGCTCTCAACATATTTTGTATTTTGTTTTCAGATGGGAAGCAAACAAATTGATAATGTTACCCATGTTACCGATTCGAACTCCATTGTCGACAGCAATGCCGTAAATGATAGTGTCGACAACAATGCCGTAAATGACAGTGTTGCTACTAGTGAAAGCGAGAGCACTCAAGTTCACAAATATTCTGAGTCTGTCAGGACCTTGCACAATGTGGCTTACATTTATAGACAAGATGTGGTAAAGCACAAGGAAACTGGTTTAATAGGGATAGTAGATGAGGTGGCTGGTGACTCTGATTCAGACAGTAGCATCACTGATGATGACGATGACGATGCTGACGAAGATGATGGTCTTGATGAGGATGATGATGCTGACGGTGATGGTGATGGTCAAGATGATACTGCTGATGGCTGTACCAACAATGACAATGAGAATAGTGACCAGAAGAAAACCGGAGGAAACCGTAAAAGAGAAGCACTTCAGGCTGATCAGGTTCGAGTACTTTGGATGCACGAAATGGAACAAGTACAAAGCATTAATGATGTAAAAGTCATCGATCGGGGTTTCTTGCATGGTGATTATGTTGCTTCTGCTTCAGACCCAACCGGGCAAGTAGGAGTTGTGGTGGATATCAACGTCTCTGTTGATTTGTTAGCTCCTGATGGTTCAGTAGTGAACAATGTATCATCCAAAGGCTTGAAGCGGGTGAGGGAGTTTGTCGTAGGAGATTATGTAGTACTTGGCCCTTGGCTCGGACGAGTTGATGATGTCATGGACAATGTGACTGTTTTAGTGGATGATGGTTCGGTCTGCAAAGTACTGGGTGCTGAACCACTCCGTCTCGAACCTATTTCCAAGAGTTTCTTCGATGAAGATGATCATTTTCCTTACTACCCTGGGCAGCGTGTGAGAGCAAGCTCGTCCTCGGTATTCAAGCATTCCCGATGGTTATATGGTTTGTTTAAGCCTAATAGATTAGAAGGAACTGTTACCAAAGTCACAGCAGGATCAGTATTCATTTATTGGATAGCTTCTGCTGGCTATGGTCCAGATTCTTCAACAGCTCCTGCTGAAGAGCAGAACCCTAAAAATCTAAAACTGTTGTCTTGCTTTGCTCATGCCAATTGGCAAGTAGGAGATTGGTGTCTTGTCCCCCCAAATGTTCTAAAATCATCCTCCATTACTACAGACACTGAATTATCCAATTCAGGACTCTGTGATTCGGTGAAAGATAAATTGATAATATAATAGGGTGTATAGCTTATTGTTGTATAGTTTTTTTTTTTTTGGAAATTCGTGATAAAAATAGTGAATTTTAGTAGGAAAGAGCATGAATGATGCAATGAATCAAAATCGGCCTTATGAACCAAAATCAAGTACATGTTAACTTGTGAAACAATAATGTTTCTGGTAATATGATGAGGTGGAGTAAGTTTTATAGAAACCGAATTCCAGAAAATCGAATAAAAAATCGCCTATATCCCGTCGGTTTTCGGGAAATGAGCATCTCACAATCGTTGCTAGCTTTTACTTGGCCCGTTGGTCGATTAATTTGCTTTATAAAACTTTCATCTTGTCGTCATTGCGCTTTCTGGTTTTTGTTAGGCCATGATAAAATCTAAGGAAATCAAGAACGAATGACACGATTTGGGATAGGAACCGCCGTTGTCGTATCCCTAGAAAATGGTGGTAAACACATACTCACCTGCCAAACTGGTTTGGATTGAGATTTTTATCGGGTATCAGGGAACCATGTGATTATAAATTAGACTTGATCAAAACAGGCCAAAACATGAAATTCAGCATGTTTGACCGACCCATAGGGAAAATTCACCTTCATTATTTAGCATGTTTGACCCCATTACAGCACGTGATTTTCCCTATGAGTTGTGATACCAGTTCTGGTGGTTGCAGCATGTTGTCGTTGTTGGCCTGTAAAAGTTGTTCCGTCGTGATGCTAAATACCTTTCTTTCCTTTTTAACAAATTGTGTAGTAGTGCTATGAAACAGACCACCCATGAACGCTACGCTTATTATGGTCCGTTCTTACTTCCGGTGGTGAGAAATTGTGAATTGAGAATCATATTCGCCTACCGCACTGTGTCTGGCTGGTGGCTGCTTACTGTGCTCTCTAGAGTTATGAAACATACTACCCATGAACGTTACCCTTAAGAGTCCATAACTTTGCCAAAAACCAATTTAGGCAATCAAAGATGGTGGATGTGTGATGATTTTTTATGGCTTAATTGTTTGTGGATTGGATATCTGATCTTTGTATGATTAGAGGGGATGTTTGCTTAATAGAATAATCCATTTTAATTCATGTTTATTTTTAACATGAACTTTAGTAACTCAAAACCTTCAAGACACATATCACCTACTGCATTGTATCATTTTACCTGGGTGCTTGCTGTGTTGTCAAACTTCTTTGTTGCTGCTGCTGCATTTACACTAACAGGGGAGTTAAGAACCCATGAATGTTTCCGTTTGACACAAACAAGAGGACTTACTTCTAAATCGTGCACTAAAGATGATTGGAGGAAACATCTCTATTGCAGTTGATATATTGGAGACCATAACAAAAGCAACGTATAACATCAAAACCAACCATCTGAACTATTAGCATTGTTGCTTTACTCTTTTTTCGTGGTTGAGTATCCTTCAAAAAATTTAGTTTGATTTTAGAAAATTTTGCTTCTGCAGTCCTGTTTTGCCACCAACGCGTTCAGTAGATGGAGATGGCAGAGGCGAAGACTATTTTTGTGTTGTTGTTGTTGTTGGTTTAGGGATCGGTTTGTGAAGAAGAGGGAGAAGAGAGGAGGAAAGGGAAATGCAGGAGAGGGGGATAACTCTTTTCTCCGACAAAAATGGAGTGGAGAAAGGAATTATGATCAGTAAGGATATGGTTATCTTACATAACGGTCTCTATTCTGTTTGAATTGAGCTTGGGAGGCAGTGATAAGGACGAGCTGCAACCAATTCATAGTGATAAGAGTGCTATGAACTGTGATCATGTCTTATTTCAAGTTAGAAGGTAGTTTCAGTATAAGGATTATTTAATTTGACAAGTTGTTTCGTCCATGATTCTTGGTAGTTTCAGTGCCATTCTAGCCATTGTTTAGTCTATAATTTTTGAGAATTGATATGCGAGTAATGACTTTCACTTAGCTTCAACTATTATGTGTGTATTTATTGGCATGTGATAGAATTCTCTTTTCCTTTTCTTTGAATCCAGTTTCATACTCTAATTGTATCATTCGTACATAGGCAAATCATGCTCGAGATGACAACTCGCTGATATGGCTGGTGCAAGGAATGAAGCCATCTTTAGAATTCAGACCGACAACGGGGAGGGATGCCCATGACTAATTCAATGATGATTGATGATGGTATAATAAAAACTGCAGTCTGCATCAGCACCAATTTCTAGGCCTAAGTAAAGTTATTCAACCCAGAACTCTGCTTAGCGCTAAATATTGCCCTCACCCAACCTTGATCCTGTTTGACCCACTTCTGAAGAGTCAAGATATATGACTAATCCTCTTCGTTCGTATTTTCTTATTGACTCTTTCTGACCCTTTAGGTTGGGGCGGGTCGGGAAGAATCGGATTAGTGGGTCGGTCCTAATCAAGTGGAATCCCAATCCCTTCACTCTCACTTGCTTTCTCTCCCATTCCACAAGTGGGTAAAACATACAGTAATCCGACCAACGGGTCGGGTAATAAGCTAGTGAAGTAAATAAAAAAAAAACAACAAAATTTTCAACCGATGATGGTGATGGAAAGTGAGCGGGCCCAGTAACCCGGACCACCCAGGCCCAGCCAGCCGCGTCCTCTTTCCATCCACACACCCGCCCGCAGTCTCATCCCCTGTCCTCCAACCCACCCCATCTCCCAAAAAACCCTCCCTTTCACTCCGTCAGATCAATCAATCGTCTCCCTACATATCATCTTCACCGTACACCCCCTCCCTTACCCGTAGAACTCGCCGCACCCAATCACTCCTCCATCCCAGACCTCTGAAACAAACAAAGAGCACAGCACACCCAGCAGCGCGCGACAAGCTGCAGCAGAGTACGGCGCAAATTGATGAATGAAAGCCCACAGCACAGCTGTCTTCCATTCCCCAAATTCAATTACTCTCCCCTCTCCCACTCTCATCTTCCTTCCTTCCTCCCTTTCCCCCTTTTCTCACTACCAAGCAAGCAAAACTCATTCCTCTGCGAAACAATGGCAGCCAACAAAACCCGTCCTCCCCTGTTTCTCATCCTCCTCTTGCTGGTCGGATCGTTGAATTCGACCCCATCTTCGGCGACCGGCGGCGAGGGAATGCTGAGCTCCGTCGCTTCCGAGGATTGGCCGATCGCGATGTCCGTCTACGGCGGCGGCGACTTGGATTCGGAGGACGGAGCGTCGGCCGATTGGGACGGAGAAGCAGAGGAGGAAGAAGGGAGCAGCGGTAGCAGCAACAGGAGGTCGCTGTTCTGGAGGAGATGGCCGTACTACATCTCGTACGGAGCTCTGTCGGCGAATCGGATCCCGTGCCCGGCGAGATCTGGGAGGTCGTACTACACCCACAATTGCTACAAGGCCCGCACCCCGGTCAACCCTTACTCCCGCGGCTGCTCCAGAATCACCCGCTGCAGGGCGTAAGAAGTTGGAAACTCTTTTTTGAGTGAGCAGAAAAAAAAAAACAGAGTGTGGGTGGAAAATGAAATTCCCAGCTCAGGGCGTGAATTTGTCTGCTTGTTTGTTTGTTTGATCTCTGTGTGTTGGTCTACTGTAATTTCTTGCTTCATTTCCCGTTCTTTTTGTAGTAATGTCGGCAGGGTGGGATACTGGGATTGGGATTTTGGGATCCAGGCATTCTTGGTGGTAAATGGTAAGTTGCTAGGTAGATCAAATTTTGTTTGATTGTGTATTGTAATCAAATGTAATGTAACGATTAATAGATGTGCTGGACTGGAATTCTGTTGATGATTAGAATGGAATTCTTTAGATTCCGTGGGGATGATTAATTAATGGGATTCTAAGAGCAATTAATAATGGATTATCGGATTAGTGCACTCACTGTAAGACTGTGATGGATGTGGGCAGCTGCGCAGCAGAGCAGGTTGGTTCGTTTCTGTTGTCTTCTTCCTCCTCCCTCATTAATTAACCACATGGGTTTTGAGATTAGTGCCTGATAATGCTAGCAAAGTTTCGTCTTCGTGTCGATCTAACGACTAAAAGTCATTCAATCATACCATCCCCTGTTTTTTTTAGCCAAATGGTGCGATCTGGTGGAATGATGGGGGGAAAAGGGTTTCTACTTTTGTCCTCTGATAGTGGATTAGGATGATGAAAAGGAGAGTTTAACGTTCTTTATTTGGGTGGCCGCTTTAACCTCTGCCTTTTGTCTAGCTACCTGCTCTGTTTTGGACTGTTATAGCAAACGAGTTATAATTGTTGAACATGGTCTGCTCTCCTCTCTCTTGTCTCCAATTCCAACAACTAACTACCACTTTCCGCCATAATTCCGGGAGGGTTCTCTCCTCCTTTTTCTCTTCCTACTTCCCATTTCCTTCCCCTGCCACTCAAATTCTATCTATCCATTCATTTTGGTTAACTGAGATCGAACCCAAAGCCAAAAGCAGGGGATCGATCAACGTACAGTTGAATTGAACTGTCCTATTACTCTGTTTCGGTTAATATAAGCCGTTGAGTTTACCGCCCATAAGGCTGCAAATGAGTCGAGCAACTCGAGGCTCAAATAGGGAAAAACTCGTACGAAACTCGACTCGTTTACTAACGAGTCAAGTTTGAGTTTAGCCTTGTTCAGCTCGCGAGCTAGCTCGACTCGGTGTCTTGTTGAGCTCAACTCGTGAGTTGGCTCATTTAGAGCTTATGAGACGTCTCAACATTGTGGTTTGAGGGCCAACTTGATCACCGACTTATGGACGAATCGATCTAATTTGGACTTTCATAGTTCATAGGATTGTTAAATTATATATCTCAAATCATGTGAAGTTTAACATGTTGAACATGTACCCCTGTTTCCGAAGTAGGGAAGGAAAAGGAGGGGAGGGGAGGGACCATTTGGAGGGGAGGGAAAATTGAAAGGGAAGGGAATTGGAGAGAAAATGTTGTTTTATGGGGGAAAGTGAAAGGGATAGAGGGAGGGAAAAAGTATATAGGGAAGTGTGATAGATATGTTATTTTATTGATTATGTAATAGTAAGTATATGCAAAAAATGCGAAGATGAATATTATGAATAACCAATTTTACATAAAAATGACCATTTTTATTATTTGTTAACGGAACATATATTGTTCATTTAACTCGTTTTTATTTTTTCATACAAATTTGATTACCTTTGTAGTACAAGATGACGTCCATTTTATAAAAAATGTAACACTCTGATGTCGTTTTACTTGAAACTTAACACACATTTACGTTACACGTAGTTGTGTAAAACAACGTTTTGTGTGACTCATGCAGTCTAAATCACCTGTTTGGTTCGGTTCGATCCGGTCTAAATATCCAATAAGTAGATAAACATCTTGCATTCTTGCTATAAATTTCACTTGTATAGCCAAAACTTTGACGGTTTGGCCAAATATAGCCACATTTGGCGAAATACCGAAAATAGCCACTTCCGTCCAATTGTTTGACGGTGTTAGTTAACGTGCTGACTGGACTAACGGATTGTCTGATCTGGCGATTTTCGGCCTGTGCATATTCCCACGTGGATTTAATTAAAAATTAAATAAAATAACAATAATGAAAATTAAAAAAAATTCAAATGGCTTGGTCATTTGATTTATGAAAAATAAAAACAAAAAAATAAATAAAACAAAAAACTTCTCTAATCGACAACTCAAACACCACTAGAGTCGCCGCCGTATCTACCGATTCAGCTCCTCCACTGCCTCCTCCTTCCCCTCCGCCTCATCTTTCGCCTTTTGCTCTGAGAACCGCGTACGCAGCAGCCGCACTCTGGAACAACCCAGAACAACCCAAAATGGGAACCTCACGGCACCAATCGTCGTCGAGGAGACGTTGACTATGTGATTCGGTTCTGCGACTAGGGATTTGGCAAAGGGCTCCTCCTCCGGCGGCAGAAACAGCTGCCTCCACTAGCTAATCCTCCGCCACCTACTCTGTTGGCGTCGGGTTGATTCGGATTCGCAGCAGGCGCGAAGCCATTGAAGCAAAGTGAACGAGGGTTTCCCGGCAAGCGAGTGGTGGCGAAGGCCCAGTGAATCTGGAATCGAGATTCGGATCGACAGAAGTGAAAGAGTGATCTGAGAGAGAGGCGAAGACGGTCGTGAGGTTTTTTGGGAGATTTGGGAGACGAACCAGGTAGGAGGAAGGGGCTTTTTTGAAACTCCCACACCCTTCCGGCTGCTGCTTGGATCGTCGTAGCTCCCGTCCTCTACGACCTTGCCCACAATCTTTCTTGGTCGAGTGAAACAAGGAAGAAGGATTCAGCCGCCACCGCCTCCCTTCATCTCTAGATCCCGCCGCCGTCGTTTTGGAAGAAGTCGCCGCCATTACTCCGTCCGCTACGACCCTGCCCCCAATCGTCATGAGTCTCGTTGTTTGCCTAGTTGCCGCTGTCGAATTCGTCAATGACCCTCTTTCCCCAAATTCTATGGTTGAGGCGAAACCCAGACTCCCAGAGATGCCCGACCAGTCGACTGGAGCGATTGAAGAGATGGGTTGGAGCGACGACCGGATGGGTGGGGCGGGCCTGTGGGGGAATCGGGGGAGAAGTTTGGGGAAGAAGATCGACAATGGTTGGTTTGTGAAGAGGGAGAAGGCAACAAACGAAGAAGGCAGGGAGGAAAGAGATAGATAAATATTAAAATAAAATAATTATTTTTTTCTAAATGAAAAGTAAATATAAAATATATTTTAAAGTAGATTGTGACATGGCATCTACGTGGCAATTAAGGTTGAGTTATTGCTGATGTGGCAGTGATTTGGCATCCTCGTCAGCGTACCGTTAACCTAACAGACGGAATTTTGTAACACCGTTAAAGTTTTGGACGGAAATGGCTATTATTGTCATCAAAGTTTCAAAATTCTGGCTATTATTGGTATTTCCCCAAAAGTGGCTATTATTGTCACAAACGTCAAAGTTTTGGCTACACAGATGAATATTGCCTTTTTATTTTTTCATACAAATTTGATTACCTTTGTAGTACAAGATGACGTCCATTTTATAAAAAATGTAACACTCTGATGTCGTTTTACTTGAAACTTAACACACATTTACGTTACACGTAGTTGTGTAAAACAACGTTTTGTGTGACTCATGCAGTCTAAATCACCTGTTTGGTTCGGTTCGATCCGGTCTAAATATCCAATAAGTAGATAAACATCTTGCATTCTTGCTATAAATTTCACGTATCGTGTAAAAACAACGTTACGCGTAAAAACAATGTTGTACTAATTCTTTTTGTCATTTATGGGTTTTGGAATATGATGTTTTTAAACATTTGATTCAATATTATTTTGTATGGTGATTGTTTTTTTTATTATTAAATTTTCAGTATTAAGAACTTGATTTTCAATAATAAGAATTTTTATAATTATATTTACCTATAACTACTAATCATAATTATACTTTTATAAATTATGTTTTTAATGAATTTTTAACGGAGAAGGTCACGACAGCAGCCACGTCGGACTGCTTTTAATTTATAACTTTAAAACACAAAAGTTTATTTAGCATTACTAACGGAATTGTTAACAGAGAGTTAACATTTGACTAATAATTTGAATTTCCATAGTTGTGGCTATAATTCCCCGCTTCATAATAGTTGTGGCTAATATATTGTATTTACTCTTTTATAAATTATATTTCCTTAGTGAACTTTTATTAATTATGTTTAATAACCAAGAACAATTGTTATTGTAAAAATAAACCTAGACAACGTTAGGGGAGGGATAATTTGGAGGTTAAGGAATTTGGAAGGAAAATGGTGTTTTATGGAGGAAAGTGGGAAGGAAAATGTGTATTGGGAATTGTGATTGTAAGTTATTTTATTGGGTATATAATAGTATAATAATTTGATTATATGTTGATAAATTTTCATTGGTTATGAATTGTGAATTAAATTTGTGCTTTCTCACTAATTATTTTTTGTTGCTTGAAATGACACATATTACCGGTCGAAACACATGATACTATCACTTGTCAACCTGGTATAACGACTCCTATGTGGTGTGCACGTGTGCGATACGTAGTGTCACGTCACGTAGTAATAATATTTAAAATTTAAAGTAATTCTTTAATAATTAAATAATAAATATTTTATACCACTAGTTTTGAACTTGGAGGTTCCAAGTTTGAATCTTTTTACTAATACCTAAATCACACAAAAAATCTGTATCACTCACATATAAAAGAAGATTTTTTTTTTCCCGAATAAAAGGATACCAAAGACATGACAAATTACTAATTAGTTATATTTAAATTGTTCAAGAACGGTAATCCACTCAACCTGTTACTGCTATAAGCCTATAAGCCATAAATTCTCATAATAATAAATATGTTTATTGATTGAGTAAAAATAATATATTTATAATTGAGAAATGATGATAAAGGATGGAAGTATTAACTTCCCATATCTTCGTAAAGCAGAAAAGAAAATAACAAATG